ATGGGGCACATTATATAAAATATATATAAATTATGAAGCAAAACATAACATTGGAATACAATGCTGCTTGAAAATTTGTAAGCATTCAAACATCAAAAAATCTATGGGTGATACAATTTGAGACATATTAAAAATATAAAAATTAGGAGAGACTAGGAAGTATCACCATTCATTACTTTCTTCCTTTAATGGTTTTTAATTTTGAAACCGAGTATTTTTTCATTGTTATTGTCAGTTTATGTATTGTAGTTACTATTCTATGTCAGATTTTTTAACAACTGATTTTGTGGCTGTGGCTTTTGTTTTTCTTTTAGGTGGGATTGGTGTATCGGAAGTACTAGATGATGGGTTTTCTGAGACAGGTGCATCTGTATCAAGAGTTTGGGCAGATTTTGTACCTTTTTTAACAACTTTCACAGTCTTTTTTGGTTTACTAGCAGAATTAGTTTCTTCTGCTCCATCATCCAAACCTTCCTCTGGTTTTGCTTTAGCTTTTTTTGCAACCTTTTTTACTACCTTCTTTACAACTTTTTTTCCGCTACTATCACCCTCCGTCATTTCTGTAGGCTCTCCCTCTGACGCAGACTTCTCCAAAGATTTTTTTGCAGTTTTTTTAATTACTTTCTCCTTTTCCTGTGTTGACGTATCTTGAACATTTTTTGACGGTTGACTCAATTCTTTTGCTCTCGATGGCCTAACTGGACTTTCTCTTGATAAAGATGGTTCGGCTACATTAGATTCAGATGAAGGTACGGGTAATTCTGTTTCTTTTCTTGTAGGTGTATCGGGTTCTTCAACTTGTTGAACTAATTCTGTTTCTTGATCAAGACTCTTATTAGGACACTTTCTTGGTGTTTTTGTATCAGTTGTAATACTTGATGATGGTGATGATAATGGTGAAGTAACCGTTTCTGTAAATTCAGATTGTTCTGGAGCAGTTAAAATTTGAGAAACTACTGTTGCTTTTTTACATGAATCACTCAATTTATCAATAGTATCAATAATTTCTACAGATTTTTCTACATTCTGAGTTGACTCTATTACGGATACTGAATTATTTATTTGGGTATTCTTTTCTGGATCTGATGAAGTTTCAGAACAAGATATATTAGATTCATGAACCGGAGTTATTGTCGAAGAAAGAATTTCATGACCCATTGATTCAGAATCTGACATAGACTCCTTGAGTTCTACTTGAAGAACTGACTCCGCCACTTGTATTGGTACTGGACTGACTGTAAGAACTTCAGAAGCAGTTGATAATTCATTTGCATGTTTTTCATCTGTAATATCTACTTTTATTTGCTGTGTATCTACAGTAATCTCAAGATTAGTTACATTACTCGGAAGTTCTTCTGTTGAAATAACAAAGTTAACATTATCTTTGTTATATGATACTTTAATATTTTGTTCTCCTAATGGACAAGATTGAACTGAATCTTGTGATATTACAGAATCAATTTCTTCTGGCAAGGCTTCTTCTAATAGTGTACTTGTACCGAGTTTATCCACATCTGTTTTAGGTATCTGCATTGTGGATTCTACGGAAGACACAGATGCAGTTGTGTCATGCGATTCACTTTTTGTTGCTGCTATGGATTTTTGAGAAGTATCTTTTATTATTTCTTCTGATACTATTTGCTCATTTGTAGATTTTTCACTAAGAGGTGCAATATCAGTAACTTGTTCAGTCTCTTCAGATAATTTAGTGTCTGTATCGTTGTCTGTTATAGGAACATTATTAAGCAGAGATTGTTGTTCTTCGCTACAACTGGCTGTTTCTTGAGCTAAATGAAAAAGAAATAACAACATTATAAATTTATAGGTGAAACAGTTTTTTGAGATAATTGATACATTCCTTGCTATATAACTATACTATACAATATATTTTAACAAGTGCGGTTGATTATTATTAGTATTTATAACAAGGTATGTATGGATAAA